GTGGCCTTCGGTTCCCTGTCCGTTCAGTATCTACAGAGAAGCTTAATGCATTCCTCCTGATCAGAGGCCAAGACCAGGGAGGGAAATGACATGGTGTCCTTTCCAGGAAAACAGATGCAGCAGGAGACCAGAAGAGACAAAGATCAGATGTTTCCTCTCACATGCGGAACTTGGATTTTATAAAGTTACAAATCCACATATATAATACACACACACACACACACACCCATAGAACATACAGGTAAAAGGGACGCTATCATGCAGAAAGGGATGAGGAGGAGGGGCAGCCAGAAGAAAGGGGAGGGGAGGCCTGGATACAGCCAAAGTACAGGATGTACTTGAGCGAAAACCATCTGTGTGAAGTCCCTCTCCCCGACTATGCACACTGAATGAGCACCAATAAAAAAGTTAAGGACAAAAACAGAAGCCAAATCAAAAGAACGTGAGGACGGCAGAGTAGATTTACACATGGTTTGTTTCTTCTCTGCTATTGTCTGAAAATATTCCTGCATGTCCTTGCTCATGAGAATATAAGAACAGAGGAACCCAAGGAGCAGAGGGAACTGCAATACTTAGGCATGACCCCCGGGAATAATGCAGGAAAAAATATTTACTATAGCCATGTGAGAGGTCACCATTATCTCACCCACGCAAGTCTGGGGCTTTGGAAGCCAGCAAGGCAGGGAGACAGGAGAGGGGGCCGTGCACAGGAAGCAAGCGTGGGTTAGAACCGGGTTAGAACCGCAGGCACACTCTGCCACAGTACACTGGTCTCACTGCCTCTGAGGCTCCACCTTAACAAGATAAACTTGCAGAAGGCCTGACTCTTCACTCCAGTTACTCATACCTGTGCCGGCACCGGTAAGAGCTCTGGGGGAGACTTGAGGCCCGTGACCTGAGCAACTGCTGTCACCACCAGGAGTGGCCAACACTTCCTGCTCAGTTTGCATGGGATTCCAAGCCCTGAAAACCTACTCCAGCCTTCTCAGCCTGATTATGGCCACTTCCTTCTCGCCTCCAAACCTCAGAAGTGTCTCCTGGGGTCAGCCCTAAAGCAGAACCACACTGGGAGGAGGGGTCTAGAAACAGTTCAAACAGAGCTAAAGAGATGGCGTATACAACCCTGTTCACCTTGTCCCACTGTTCCAGACTCTGCAACTAGTATGCTCAGGTCAGCATGTGCTCAGCCCACTGCATCTTCTAGGTGAGAAACACGAGGAGGCTCTTACTATATATATAATATATAGGTATAGCCGATATTCCTTATATACAAACATCTGTCCAGCAAAAGAATTAAATATCAATTTACCATGTTTGTTCTTAAGAGAGTTTCTATCTCTCAGTATGTGACATTTGAATATTTAATATTCAATTTAACAATAATTTAAATATTTAACACTTAAATATTTAAAACATTGAGATATAAACTTACTTTTACTAAAAAAAGAGAAAAAAGTCTATATTTTGATTTGGGATTCTATGTGAGCAAAAAGTAAAGTACAAAAATGAGAGAAAAATGGACAGGCTTTGGGACATTTATAGTGCAGAATACTATTCAGAAATGAAAAGGAATGAACTCTTCATTGTACACAGCCATCTGGATGAAGCCCCAGAGAAATGCTGAGATTAAGGGGGGGGGGCAATCTCAATAAAGTGTATGCTAAGCAATTTTGCTTATGTAACATCAAAATGATAAAATTATAGAGGAGGAGAATTAGTGGTTGTCACGGGTCAGGGTGGAAGTTTGGAGCGCTGCTATGATGAGGAGGCAGAGTCCATGTGATGGAAGTGTTCTAGGCCTTGTAACCGCAGTAGAACCTCAGTAATTGACACCTGTCATAAAACTGCTGAAAACTAAATATACCCCAAAATATTAGTAAAATAGGCATGCACAAACCGATGAAATCTAGGCATGGGGAGACCCCACAGATCATACCAATGCTATTTCCTAGCTCCCGGGACCACTAGCCCAGGGGCGGCCAAGCCCACAGTGGGTTGAGTACTCCCACGTCAATCACTAATTAAGAAAATCCCCTTCAGGCTTGCCTACAGCCTGACATTATGGAAGCATTTTCTCAGCTGAGATTCTCTCCTCACTGATGACTCTAGCATGTGCCAAGTTGACATAAAACCAGCCAGGACAGTGGGCCAATGCCTGATTCATAAATGATCCAAGGAGTTTGACATCCTTTTTTAAACAGGTTTAAGTTATATAGGTCTCTAGACACGGTAGCTCACTGGATCGGTAATCTCAACACTTAGGAGGCTGAGGCAGGAGAACTGCCAAGAGTAAAAAACTATCCTGGGCTGCATAGTAAATTCCAAGCCAGCCTGGGCTGTGGAGTGAGAGCCTGTCTCAGGAAACAAAACCAAAACAACACAACAACAACAAAAACAGGAGGAAGAGGAAAGGGAAAAATATTAAAAATGCCCGAAGTCTTCAAGGACCTTCTGTTCATGCAACTGCACAGGAACATGGGGTGTACCTAATTGACTGTGGAAGACAGAGCTACTCTCATAGAGACTGACCCTGTGAACAGAGCTGGTCTGCTTTTTCTTCCCCTCTCTGCTCTCTAGACTTTACTTTCTATTGCTGTGATAAACACCACAACCTAAAACAACAGAGGGAAAAGGGCTTATCTGCCTTACACATCTGGACCACAGCTCCATCATTTGGAGAAGTCAAGGCAGGAACAGGCAGAGACATGGAGGAACACTGCTTACTGGTTTGCTCAGCCTGCTTTCTTATACAACCTACGACCACCTGCCCAGAAGTGGTACCACCCACAGTGGGCTGTGCCCGCCCCTGTCAATCATTCATCAGGAAGATGTCCACACAGGCTTACCTACTGACCAATCTGCTGGGGGCATCATATTCTCAATTGAGTCCCCCTCTTCCTAGATGACCCTAGCTTGTGTCAAGTTGACTAAAAACAACCAAAACAAAAATAACAACAACAACCAAAAAACCTCGTTGCCACCCCTGCCCATCAACCCTGCCGATTTCCCCACCAACCCCTCCCACGGAGGTGGGGAGGGGGGGGGATGAAGTCCAGCTAGTGATATAAGGGGTGGAGCGCTCCCTTCCTCCTCTGCCCTGGCAGAACTCCTGTTAGGAACTATTAACAACACTTGGACAGCAAGCCCATCCGCCAACAGGCATTCAGTCCTGGCTCTTTAAATGGAAACAGCTCAGGCCAGGAACCAGAGCTGTAAAAAAGTCTGGAGCGCTGTGAGCGTATTCACCTTCCAATTAATCAACAGCCTCGCCCACTCGATGAAAATGTTCATCAAGTGTAAAAGGAAGCGTTCCTATTTTTAAGATTAAAAAAAAAAAACACTTGGGAAATTAATAAGGCTGAGAAACCGCAGCTAAAGGCTATCTTGGGTTGAAAACCAACACAACTTTCCAAAGATAAATGTTTGTAAAACATCTCCTTGAGAGTCAGACGTGTTATTTTTTTTTTCAGACGTGTTATTTTCTCTCCCTCTTTAAAACATTAGTTTATTTGAGAGAGGTGTGTGAAAAGTCAGCTGCCGGGGTTTCCTTTTCGAAGTCATGGGGTCGCCTCTCCAAAGCCCTGGGCCTGAAGGCCCACGCTGACTGTTACTTTGCCAACTGTTCCCAGGGATCAGTTTAATGAACTAAGGCTCCGATGACAAGGACTGGAAAGCGGGTTAATGCGGGGCTAATACCCAGTGAGCTGTGTGTCCCTACTCACACAAGCTCAAATGCAGAGCCAAGTTACAATGAATCCCCTCTTTGGCTCCAACCGGTCCTTTCCCCAGAATTCTAAATTCAAGCGGATACCCCACCCTACAGACGGGTAACTCCTGGTCCGGATCCACTACTTGAGCAGAAACGCTGAGTCATGATTCCGGAGCTTGGGAAGGGTCTCTCTGCGACCCCAGGCAGGTGCCCCACCACTTTGCGCGTACTCCGTGCGAGTCCCGGAGTCTGGGCGCCACACGGTGGACTCAGAGGCTGCGGTTGCGGAGTTCTGGGATGGGGAGGCTGGGATTGGAGATACTGGGGTTAGGGAGGCTATCAGCGGCCCAGCAAAGCCTGGCGCACCAGAGTAGGGTGCCTGACCCCTCTCCCCAGATCCTGCCTGGAACACTCACAGCCTGGCAGCTCCAGGAGCATCCTAGGCCACTTGTTCGGTCCCCTCTACTCATCTGCCTAGCAGTCAAACCTCCCGGGAGAAGCTAACAACTTGGAGCATCGCCACCCTCTGGAACCAGTGGATCGCCATGAGAAGACTGGGAAGGGTAGGGAAGGGGTCGGGTGGGAAGTCAGATCCACCAGCACTGAAACCCCGGGAACCTAGCAGAGGGAGCACAGTCTCTGGGGAAACTCGGTCCCAACTCCGCAGCCGGTGCCCAGGAGCCAGGAAGCGCGGGAGAACCTAGGCTTAGCTGGGAGGACCGGGGCAGAGCAGGGAGGTCCTGAGTAGCGCGGAGAGAACCCAAGACAGAGCCAGAAGAAAACGGTGCCGTGCTTGAGAACTCGGGCAGAGCCTTAAAAAAACAGGAGTTGACATTGGCAAGGACCAGAGGCAGAGTCCGGAGGACTCGGGACAGAGGCTGGCGCAGCAGGATCAGAGCCAAAACCGGAGGATCTAGCCAGAGCGACGAGGTCCTGTGGCAGAGCGCAGAGAGAAGCCGGGGCTTCTGACAGATACTAGACAGAGGACCCGGAGCCAAGTAGAAAGCACTGAGGATAGAACCAGGAGCGCCAAGCATACAGCCCAGAGGACCTGGGGCAAAGCCAGGAGAACCCAGCGGAGCAGGGAGGAACAAGCGTAGAACCTAGAGGACCAGGCTGAGCCTGGAGAGCCACAAAGTAAAGCGAGGCGGATCGGGCTGATGGCAAAACGGTCTAGCTGAAAGGGCAGGACACCCTAGAGAAGGTACGGATGGATCCGTCAGAAGTGCCCCCGCAGTGACACCCCTTCTCCGGGGACAGGTGTCCGGACCCCAGGGCGCACGGGGCTCACCTGAAGGACAGCACGCACAGCGGCCGATAGGACTTGTGGCTGGTGCTGTCCGCCAGGCCCTTGCCCCAGAAGTCGTTGGCGAAAACGGCCCAGCGCAGCGGGGCCCCGGGCCGCACGTCGGGGTTGTTCACGATCGCCCACACGTCGTCATGCACAAACTCGCCCCGCAGCGAGCGGCCGTAGCACAAGCAGCTGGCCCCGGCTAACAGCGCCGCGGCTCCGGCCGGAACCAGTCCGCAGCGCGGGCGCCGCGAGGGCGCGCGCTCCCCGCCGCCGCGGTCCCCGCGGGTCACCAGCATCGCGCCGCCTGCACGGCCGCTCCCGAGCGGCGCGCATCCTCCCCGGCTGGGGCCCGGGTGCGCGGCGTCCTGCGTGGCTCGGGCATCGCGCGCCCACTGTCCCCGCCCGGGCGCCCCGTGCTCGGCCGCCGCGGTGGCCCAGCTGCAAATAAACAGCGGTCCCCCCGCCTCCCCGGGCCATCGCCGCCGCCTCCGCCCACTGCGCATGCCCGCTCGCGCGCCTCCGCCTCCTGGATCCCGGGACCCAAGGTCCCTAACACCTGGCCTCCGCCTGTGGGCGCCGCGTCCCAGGCGACCAGAACGCGCACAGGTGGAGCGGGGGCGCTGCAGGGTTTGCGGGGTGGTGGGGGGAGACACACGCGGGAAATGCCACTCGGGGTCCCTCCGGGTACTCCCGGTTGCTCTCCCAGACCTCTCCCCTGCCCATCCCAGGGGCGGAGGAGCAGGTCTCCGCCGCCTCCTAGCCGCGAGTCGGGATGCTTAGCAGGTGCGCTGTCTGCACCCCAACACCGTCTCTCCCCAGAAGAGCAAGAGATTAGACACCCGCAGGACAGCGCGCGGACACGCTCCAGCGCCCGCGGGGCTTGAAGCCTTCCACCGCGTTGCGCCCTAACCCTGGGAACGCACGCAGCGGTCCCTTCCCAAAAGCCAAGGGATGCATCCGGAACTGTGGACTATCTCCTGGTCAGGTTTCTCAGCTGCTGCTGCTAAGGCTTATAATGTTCTTTTATTGATTTGTGTCTTATAAATATGATCACTATAAAAGACGGATATATTAAAACCCAGAAATCTGATTGCTGTAAAAAAAAATAAGTCCTGGGTTTGATTTTTTATTTCCGTCCTGCTGCCTCTCCCTTTTGTTTTCCCTTTAAACTCTTAAGCAGTGAGAGAGACGCCAAACACACCACTTAGGGCTTTCTTTTGGTTTTGGTTTTGAGATGCTGCCTTACGCCATCCTCCAGGCAGGCCTGGCATTGGCTAGGGAAGCCAGGCTCTCCTTATGGAAATCCCCCTGCCTCAGCCTCCCTGGCACACCTACTTTACCACGTCTTACTGGATCTCTTGGGCGTGACCATTGTCTCCTGGGTACTGCAGGCAAGACTACCGTGACTCTCGATACAAATTAAAACTACGGACTGCCTGGGCATTGCCTCTGACTCAGAAACTTCCTGTCGTTCCCGAAACTGTTCTACTTTTGAATGCCAATCACAATATGTAAATAAATGAGGTATTCCAAGTAACAGTGACTTTTCCTAGCATTGAAAATCCCGTTAATTCTTTCAAGCCACTTGTGAATTGACGTGGCTTTATTTCTGAACTTAACAGATTTCATACACCCAGACCACAAACGTCAAAATAAAGTCACCATTAAAACAAGCCAACAAACAAACAACAACCAATTAAGAAAAAAAAACTTTTGACAAGAAAGAAAAGAAATTTGAAATGTAACGGAAAATTTGTTCTTTGAGCCTTCCAATGACTCCTTAATTTTTAACAGCTGAGCACTTAACTCAGCAGTTCCCAGATTAACAGGGACACAGTCCAAGACACGACCCATTTCGCCTCTTCTGGTGTTTTATTTACTGTTGGTTTTTCTTGGTGAATTAAAATTGGTGAGAGAGAAGCAAAGCTGAAATCCTGAGCCCTAGTGACAGCTTCCCCAGAATATCTGATCCTCAATGACTTCCCCAACCAGACCCCACACACCTGTGTCTTTAGCTTCCTCTGTAGTAATAAAAAAAATGGATTTACCTGGTACTAAGGAAGGATAGAGGAACAAAGCTACTCAATTTCTCTCTCTCTCTCTCTCTCTCTCTCTCTCTCTCTCTCTCTCTCTCTCTCTCTCTCTGTGTGTGTGTGTGTGTGTGTGTGTGTGTGATGAACACGGGCTGTCTAGGGACAATACCCTAAACCAGGAGAGCAACATCAAGAACAGATTCTATGACAGTTCACTTCCTCACTGCACCCCTGCCACCTCCACAAGAGACACATCTGCCCCAATCTCAACACTTTTGAGTTTTTAGGTGACTCAGAACCAGAATCAAGATGTTACCAAACTCACGAGGTTCAGCCTACAGCCTTCCAGTTTGGCATTGGTGTGAGAGCCACACTGCACAGAAACCACACTTTGAGGGTTGGGTTTGGTATTCCTGAAGCTCCAGGAAACACCACTGACAATGTGGTGTTCAGGTGAAGATTGAAGTTCCACGGGTTGGAAATAGTAAATGTGTTTTGATGTATGATATTTTCAACGCCCAACACATCGTGAGCCCCGGAGCACCTGTGGCAAGATTCTCCCAGACCCAATCTGCTCCGTGCCACAGAGTCTCCAAGGTACAAAACACTCAGCTGATAATGATTTAATGTCTTGCTACTTAGTCGCCAATTGTTGCTAAGATCTTGGTAATTGCAGGAATACTACCCTCTAAGATATCCGTGTCCACCTGGAGAGATCTAAAGCAAACAATCACAGAAGCGCCTCTGAGGCTCCGCCAGAGTCATTCGTACACATCTCAGGAACAGGATTCCAGAACATCAGACAAAAGTCAAAGACAAGTCAATATTTTAATAAAACCCATTTCAAATTAACTACAAAGACTCTTTGCTTTGCTAAACCTTAGCGAGACTTCATAAGCTTATCCTAGGAGCCAAGATAATATGCACTGCCCTATAAAATCCAGTTTTAGCAAAGAGGCTTCTTAAGTTTCATGATGCCGAATAGCTGATCAGATTCGTATTCACCATCCACTCAGCAGTGTCTGACCATCCCGACTACAGAATTATCCTGGTAGATCAGTTCAGCCAGAAACTTCTTATAGCTGTAAAGTATCAGCTATAAGATCACAGTATCCTTGATACTGTGGTAGGACGCTTGAAAGACACAGAGTAAGGCAGGGGGAGGGTTTATCTGGGCTCATAGTTTGGGGAGATGAAAACCATTAGGGCAGGAAAGGCAGGGAGGGGAAAGAAAGGTGGCAAGATCCTGCTTGTACCCAGATGAGCAGGAAGCAGGGGTGGGATAGCAAATAGGAAGGCCCAGCCCCATCGGCCCACTTCCTCCAGTGTGGCTCCGCTTCCTAGAGGTTCCACAGTCTGCCCAACAGCACCAAGCAGTCAAACAACTGGGGGATATTCTGCATTCAGAGAACAGCACCTTCTTAACTCTGATATGGTATTTTAGCAATACCCTGTCCACCCCCGTCCCCGCACACACACAGTTGACTTCTGAATATCAATTCCCACTTGACTCCTGGGTGTATTCAGGGTTGAGTCTGATCCCTTTTTCCACAGCAAAGCCTTGTTGCCATGGTTCTATGCCTGTCACCGCTATCCTGAATCAAGTCAGCCTGTGTTTTTACAAATATCATTCAATGATTTGTTTTTCCTTGAATAAAGTTCACTGTGATTTTTCATCCTAGCGGTACTCTCTAATCAGATGGGTTCTAGAAAGGAGATCGAGCGCAATGTTACAAAGACAGAAATTTAGCAAAATGGTTGACAATACTTCAAAATATTAATTTTTAATGTCTAGTAATTTAAATATTATCTCTTCTTCAAGACAATCCTATAAGCAACGGGCAACCTGTGCTCTCAGGCTTGCTCAGTCTCTACCCAGACAAGTGTGGAGCGGTCTGGGATGTCACATGTCTGGGGCAGTAGCTGTGGTCTTCCTGGGTCCCAGACTGGTGGATGCACAGGCTGCATCCCCAGGAGATAAGACAGACTCTACGTGGAGGTAAATTGGCTTCCCTTCCCATCCTTGAGGCTGTACTGCAACAGCTTCACATAGCAAACCCAAGATATCTCAAAAAATGTCCGTCACCTTTAATATTTCATCACTTAGCAACTTTGTCACCCTGCTCTTACAAAACCAAAGCACGCATGTGGACACCGCACCTTGACACACTAGAAGGAAGGAAAATACCTTTTTCCTCCTGACCTTTTTGGCTCTTCCCTGGGTCCACATAATAGACGGCAGATTAACAAGAAAAGGCTATAAACCGATTTAATATATTTGAAAGACCCAGGAGACATACAGAAATGAAGACCTGAAATTGAACCTGCTATATTCTTTTTCATTATATTTTATGTGGATAGATGTGTTTTGCCTGCATGAATGTCAGCACACCATGTGCATGTAATGCCAATGAATGCCAGGAGAGGACTTGAGCTACAGACATTGTGAGCGGCTGTGTGATGTTGGGAATCAAACTCTGCTCCTTGGAAGAGTAGCCAGTGGGTACTCTTAACCACTTATCATCTCCTGTGCCCCAGCTGGTGGGGTTTGTTTGTTTTATTCCGTTTGCTGGAGACTAGGATCACAATAGGATAGATGGTGTAAAATGACAGTGGTAACCAGGGAAACTTCCAAGGCTGGTCTGTCACATCTGGCACAGTTCCAAGAACGTGGCCTGACCGGGGCAATGTTGGGGGAACTGCTCAGACTGGAAATGATCACTCAGAAACTACATTACTTGTAATACCTTTTGGCCAATAGCTTAAGTGTATTGCTAGCTAGCTCTTATATCTTTGGTTAACACATTTCTATTCATCTGTGTATCGCCACATAGCTGTGGCTTACCGGAAAGGTTCCAGAGGGCTCCGGTGGAGGTGTCTGTCCCTGATGGCGGCTACATGGCTTCTCCCTGACTCTGCCTACTCTCTCTATATATCTCTATCAGCCTGGCTATATTGTTAAGTCATTGGCTGAAAACAGCTCATTCACATATATTTGTATAATTATTGCATACAACCTAACAAGAAGTGGTGTTATTCTATACAGTTAAACAAGGAGGCAGGTGTAGGAAATCTCAGTTGGAGCAGGCTCTGGAGGGGAGCAGCCTTCAGGCCATGCATATCCGGGGGGGAAAAGCTACGCTGGTCATTTTCTGCACACACTATTAACATTCACATTCAAGTGGGGAGGGAAGGTTTTAGCATTCCCCATGGAGCTGAGGTTTTGGGATCCTTGACACGTGGTGCTCATGTCAAAACATACACACTCATTCACTACTTCCCACACATGCAGGACTTCCTCTGCTCCCTTACACAAATCCAGTCAGGTTCTCTCTGGTGCCTTCATGTCTGGAGAATCACACCCCTGCCACCTCTTAAATGCCGTCTGTAACAGTTCAGGGCTTCCATGTCATGTTCGGTG